AGAGAGAAAGGAGTTATCTTCTTTCCGACCGATGGGTAAACGGAGACCTTTGAATTCTCGTGAAGTTGGAGGGGCCTGTCTGCTGGGCTGAGATGAAGCTCTCTTGCGTCTCATTACATGGGAGGAAGCTCTCAGTGATTTCTTGTGGAGGATGAGGTAGAAAATCTTTCTTTTTGGAAGCTATGGGAGCTCTGTCTTTGTTGCTAGGAGCGAGGTCTCTTCAATCTTCTTAAGACGAAAAGGCGACATACCAAGAGGTAAAAAGGCTCTCTGCTAGAAGGATGCTCTCTTCTGTTGCCACGAATATCCTGGAGACTCTCTTCTTGTTTTGGAGCATGAGGTCATTTCCCTTTGAAGGCTGAGGGACGACCAGATGTCTCTGTTTGAAAATTGGGGGGAGCTCCACCCTTTCTTCTTGAGTTGGGGGGAGCTCCACCCTTTCTTCTTGAGTGTATGCTCTCTTCCATTTTTAAAACGGCGACGGAAATAATCAGGATCCCCTCCCCATATCAGGAAAGAAAGGAGGTCTCTTCTTGCCGAAAGGTAAACGGTGCCCTCTTCTTTCTCATGAAATTGGAGCGGCCTGTTTGCTTTGTTGAGATGGCGCTTTCTTTTGTCCCATTAGTTTGGAGGAAGCTCTCAGTCTCTTCTTGTCGAGGATGAGGCAGAGGATTTGTCTTTTTGAAAGCTAATTCAGAGCATGGGGTAGAGGGCTGCTCATGTCTTGTTGAAGGATGAGGGGAGGATCAGACTCTTCTTCTGAAGATTGAGCGAGCTCTGTCCTCACTTCTTGAAAGCTATCCCTCTTCTATCCCTTGAAGAGGAAGAGGGGACGACAAGGAGCTCCTCTCTCTTCTTGTCGACTAAGAGGCAGCCGCAGTTCTTTTTGAAACTGGAGATGCGTTGAGCCTTGTCTTCTTCGACTAGAAGCGAGCTCCCTTCAATTCTCTTCAGAGGAGATGGAGACCTACCAAGAGAGGGAGGAGCTCGCTGCTCGAAATCAGCTGAATGACTTGGAGGGACTCTCTCCGTGGTTTCGTTGAGGGGTGGGGGCATCTCCGCCCTTTCTTCTTGAGCGTATGCCCTTTTCCATCTTTTGAAAAGGTAAGGGAAGTAATCAGGATCTCTTTCCACTGCCAAGAGAGAAAGGAGGTTTCTTCTTCTTGTGCGTATGCTGTTCTCCATCTTTTGAAAAGGTAAAAGAAATGCGCAAGATTCAACCCCTTATGAAGAGAGAAAGGAGTTATTTTCTTTCCGACCGATGGGTAAACGGAGACCTTTGAATTCTCGTGAACTTGGAGAGGCCTGTCTGCTGGGCTGAGATGAAGCTCTCTTGCGTCTCATTACATGGGAGGAAGCACTCAGTGATTTCTTGTGGAGGATGAGGTAGAAAATCTTTCTTTTTGGAAGCTAGGGGAGCTCTGTCCTTTCTTGCTAGGAGCGAGGTCTCTTCAATCTTCTTAAGACGAAAAGGCGACATACCAAGAGGTAAAAAGGCTCTCTGCTAGAAGGATGCTCTCTTCTGTTGCCACAAATCACCTGGAGACTCTCTTCTTGTTTTGGGGCTTGAGGTCTTTTCCTTTTAAATGCTGAGGGATGACCAGATGTCTCTACTTGAAAATTGGGGGAGCTCCACCCTTTCTTCTTGAGCGTCCTCCCCTTGTCAAGAAAGAAAGGAGGTCTCTTCTTGCCGAGGGGTAAACGGAGCCCTCTTCTTTCTCGTGAAGTTGGAGCGGCCTGTTTGCTTTGTTGAGATGGCGCTTTCTTCTGCCGCCTTAGATTGCTCTCAATCTCTTCTTGTCGAGGATGAGTTTTTGGAGTAGAGGGCTGCTCATGTCTTATTGAAGGCTAAGGGAGGATCAGACTCTTCTTTTGAAGATTGAGAAGCTCAGTCCTCACTTCTTGAAAGCTATCTCTCTTCTATCCCTTGAGGAGGAAGAGGGGACGACAAGGGGCTCCTCTCTCTTCTTGTCGACTGAGAGGCAGCCGGAGTTCTTTTTTTCTCGTGACGTTGGAAGGGTTCTCTGCTCCTTTGAGATGCTGCCGTAGAGGATGTGCCAAGGGATCTCTTCCTTACCCTTTTGGAGAAAAGAAGCTCATTTCTTGCGGATGACGAAGCAGCGAGCTCCCTTCATTTTATCGTCAGAGGAGATGATGGGAGGAAGCTCTCAGTGATTTCTTGTGGAGGATGAGGCAGACAATCTTTCTTTTTGGAAGCTAGCTAGGGGAGCTCTGTCCTTTCTTGCTAGGAGCGAGGTCTCTTCAATCTCCTTAAGACGAAAAGGCGACATACCAAGAGGTAAGAAGGATGCTCTCTTTTGTTGCCACGAATATCCTGGGAACTCTCTTCTTGTTTTGGAGCATGAGGTCTTTTCCTTTTAAATGCTGAGGGATGAAAAGATGTCTCTACTTGAAAATTGGGGGAGCTCCACCCTTTCTTCTTGAGTGTCCTCCCCTTTTCAAGAAAGAAAGGAGGTCTCTTCTTGCCGAGGGGTAAACGGAGCCCTCTTCTTTCTCGTGAAGTTGGAGCGGCCTGTTTGCTTTGTTGAGAGGGCGCTTTCTTTTGTCCCATTAGTTTGGAGGAAGCTCTCAGTCTCTTCTTGCCGAGGATGAGGCAGAGGATTTTTTTGGAAGCTAATTCAGAGGATGGGGTAGAGGGCTGCTCATGTCTTATTGAAGGCTAAGGGGAGGATCAGACTCTTCTTTTGAAGATTGAGAAGCTCAGTCCTCACTTCTTGAAAGCTATCTCTCTTCTATCCCTTGAGGAGGAAGAGGGGACGACAAGCAGCTCCTCTCTCTTCTTGTCGACTGAGAGGCAGCCGGAGTTCTTTTTTTCTCGTGACGTTGGAAGGGTTCTCTGCTCCGCGGTAGAGGATGTGCCAAGGGATTTCCTTACCCTTTTGGGGAAAAGAAGCTCATTTCTTGCGGATGACGAAGCAGCGAGCTCCCTTCATTTATCGTCAGAGGAGATGATGGGAGGAAGCTCTCAGTGATTTCTTGTGGAGGATGAGGTAGACAATCTTTCTTTTTGGAAGCTAGGGGAGCTCTGTCCTTTCTTGCTAGGAGCGAGGTCTCTTCAATCTCCTTAAGACGAAGAGGCGACATACCAAGAGGTAAGAAGGATGCTCTCTTTTGTTGCCACGAATATCCTGGGGACTCTCTTCTTGTTTTGGAGCATGAGGTCTTTTCCTTTTAAATGCTGAGGGATGACCAGATGTCTCTACTTGAAAATTGGGGGAGCTCCACCCTTTCTTCTTGAGTGTCCTCCCCTTTTCAAGAAAGAAAGGAGGTCTCTTCTTGCCGAGGGGTAAACGGAGCCCTCTTCTTTCTCGTGAAGTTGGAGCGGCCTGTTTGCTTTGTTGAGATGGCGCTTTCTTTTGTCCCATTAGTTGGAGGAAGCTCTCAGTCTCTTCTTGTCGAGGATGAGGCAAAGGATTTTTTTGGAAGCTAATTCAGAGGATGGGGTAGAGGGCTGCTCATGTCTTATTGAAGGCTAAGGGGAGGATCAGACTCTTCTTTTGAAGATTGAGACAGCTCAGTCCTCACTTCTTGAAAGCTATCTCTCTTCTATCCCTTGAGGAGGAAGAGGGGACGACAAGGAGCTCCTCTCTCTTCTTGTCGACTAAGAGGCAGCCGGAGTTCTTTTTTTCTCGTGACGTTGGAAGGGTTCTCTGCTCCTTTGAGATGCTGCGGTAGAGGATGTGCCAAGGGATCTCTTCCTTACCCTTTTGGGGAAAAGAAGCTCATTTCTTGCGGATGACGAAGCAGCGAGCTCCCTTCATTTATCGTCAGAGGAGATGGAGACTTACCAAGAGGTAGAGGAGCTCGCTGCTAGAAATCAGCTGAATGACTTGGAGAGACTTTCTCCGTGTTTTCGTTGAGGGTTGGGGGAATCTCCACCCTTTCTTGAGCCGTCTGTCTACATTCCAAGGAGTCGTGGACATTCTGATTGGTTAAACATTACATTACATTCACACGAACTTTGGGCGCAAGTGGCCGCCGCTTGTATGTCGCAGTGTAATACGCAGCTAGGCACCACGAGAGCGCAGACATTTTCAACGATCAATTATGCACGCATGGAGTCTGTGCCTACGTCACCCGTGTCATGGCGTGGTCTGTGGTGATGAGAATAAGCACTACTTGAATGCAAAAACACAGCCATCCAGCTGCCAAATAGACCCTATTTAAGCCGGCCACGGGGGGGGGGGGGGTACCTTATCTTGGGGATCCTTATAGTAAGGATCCTATTGTTTAGGGCACTATATTAGGCTCCCCTATTGTTGGAAACTCCCATGTATCTTGTAGCATGGTGCCATTTAAGTGACTTCTGAGATAGGGAGACAAGTCTTTTTCCCATGAACAAGTCAAGTCCACGAGCTGCCCCTGACTCAGAAGTCACGCTCCAAAAGTTTTTGCAGAATGAAGATGAGCTTTCAGTTGCTGAGAGCCATCCTTTTCTCTTGACAAGCCGGTTCCCACACCAAGTGGATTCACGCTGTCTTACTGTGGGTTGACATCAGTTGTGCTCAGCTGCTCCAATGTATGTACGGTTATGCAGACGGTTGTCGAGACAGCAAGGAACACATGAGACCCAGATCTCCTGGCACCGGCTGCCTGAACAGAGTTTTCACCCATGTGCACACACATGCCTTTACAGATCGCACTCGAGATCCTTGAGCTTGGCCACTGCGAGATCCTGTGGTGCCGTTTCGGGCTATCTCGTGTTTCCATCTCGAACACATCGCAGTCGCAATCGGCAAGACGACCCGTGCGCACGCGCACTCGGATCTCGTCGGCCTCGGCGTATGCCGTAATGGCAATAAGTGGATGAGCTCAAGCGCAGATCTTTGCGTCGGATTCTGGGTTGTAAGATTGCGGCGAGGAGCTGAAAAGACCGGAAAGCAACTGCTACATAAGGTCAGCAGGTCGGTCAGGCAAAGTGAACTCGTCAACCAGGGACCACCACCACGGCAACGCACATGTGCACGATTTCAACGAAGGCAAGGGCAGCAATCGAGCCGGAGGGGATCAAAGAGACATCAGCCCCATGTTTGCAAGAAGTCCATCTCCGAACCGCAAGACTTGTGAGGGTTACATTGCCTCAGGCTCTTCTGTGGCGGATTCGTGGGGGTTCAGAGACTGGCGGCCACTTGGCGATTCAAGAAAGCCGAAGGTTTACCATACGCAGGGGCCAGGCAGCAGTCAAACAAAGATGAGAGGAATAAGAGGAGGGAGAGAAGCATCTTCGTATTTTTGGCTGGGAGCTCGGTTGCAGGGTAGCACGGGGAGGCGATGGAGACGATTCATCTCATGATCGCACGTGCCAAAACATCATTCCTTCTCCAGAAGCACTTGCAAGCCATGCCTCACCACAACAGCCAGAATCAGCCAGACGGACCACCAGTATGCAGAGCATATCCAGCATCCTGGCCGAGCCGAGCACGAATTGAAAATCTATGGATCACCAGATCCATAGCGAGCCATCGGCCTCGCTTCGCCATGGGCAAGAAGGCGGGTCCCGTGAGCGAAGTGTTGCAGAGCTTGTTCTCGGCCACAAGCCAATCTCAATCTGTTTGCAAGCTTGCAAGTGGACTGGCAAGACTTCCATGATGGCATACGGCAGGCCCTAAAGAGGCAGGGAAGCAGCAAGGCCGCTTGCTCGACACACGAGTCAAGCAAGGAGATCATGGAAGGATAGCTTGGCTTCGTGGCACCCAGGTCCAGGCCCCAACACCGAGTAGCCAAGCGAGCAAGGCAACTTGGCGAAGAGGCACAGGGACACTTCGAGTTGCTTCGCAGCGTCTCGTAACCTCGAGGAAGTCAGCATCGACGACTTGCTCAGCGACTTAAGCCCGACCAGCAGCAAAGCAGCCACTTGGTCTCGCTGCTGCGCGCATGACCACTTCTGTTTGTGAAGTGGGCTTCTGCTAAGTCTTCGGGAAAGAAAGCCTCGAAGAAGAGAGCCGCGGAGGAAGCTTGGAGGCTTTAGAACTCCTGATCTCGGACTTCAGAGGCAGAGTCTGAAAAAAGTCAGAATCCTCCGGCTTTGAGGAGCGCCGCAAGGCCGAGGCCGCCTTGCGCCTCGCCGAGCTGCAGCGGCAGGAGGAGCCCAGGGCCCATGGCGCGCCCTCTTAGAGTCTTAGAGCTTAGGGCAGCTTGGGGTCACTTGAGACTCTCCCTCTCACCGCCTTAGCAAGTGACGCCGCGAAGCTGCGGTTTTTGGCTTGCTCTCTCGGTCGTCAGGCAACTTGGTCGTCCATGGACCATGGAGGGCTTTGTAATTTCACAGGCATAACAAACCAAAGGAGCACTCGCAGGAAATGCGTGCCATTGCAGTCAGACTTTAAGGGGCCTTGCGAGAAGCTCGGCAAATTTTTCAGCTTTTGAATCTTGGAGGCGGTCGGATGAGAAGGCTGGAATTCGATCTCCATCAGTACGGTTTGAAGAAGAATTGTGCTGTCATGTGCTGAGCTCTGACTTTGAGGAGGATGCTGAACAGCAGCTGAAAAGCACCCTGGCTTTGCAGGACACCGGAAATTGCTGACAGCTTGCAAATGCAGCTGCTGATTTCCAGGTAGTTCGAATCTAGAAACGGCTGAAGCATGTCGACTCGTTTGGCTTAGAGGGGCGATGGGCAGGGACACACGAAACAACTACTGCTTGCCTTTAGTTTGATTCGCGTGTTTTACGGTTAGTCCCTTGGACTTGTTGAGCATAGGAGCAGCTTCTCCAGCGAGCAACGTGGGCAGCCAACTCGGCCTGTTCGTCGCTTGCCGCAGGTGACTGCTGGCCTTCTGCTGCAGAGCACAATTCGGTAGAGTTGGTTTAGGTGTCGATTGTAGCGGCACGAAGACTGTCTTGGGAGGCTTTCGACATTCCAGTGTCGTACAAGCAGATGGCAGCCCCTCTGACGCTATGGCGATGTACGTCGTGTCAAAGACCCCGAACCGAAAGCCACACATCCATGCAGCGTTGCTAGCTTAGTCTTTAAGGCTTGGTGTGCTTTGGCACGTCTGGACGGGGCCAGTGCCATGTGCCGACAGAGCTCGGGCTTGTGCATGCAGTGGCTGCCGGCAACTTGGCCCCAGGCTGTCAGTGCCGGAAATCACTACGGCCTGGCTGATCACGGAGCGAGTTGGACTTGAACTGCAGCCCAGGCAACTTGCACACCTGTGCTGTGCAAGCCGATGGGATGCTCCAGTGCTTTGGAGATGACAGACCCTCGGCTGCTGCATCCACACCAGCATTTGGATGAACCTATGTTGAAGCTGTCAGCAACCTTGCGCAGAGGTCAGCTTTCAACCTTGGCTGTGGTGTGTGTTTATCATGTTGTTTCTGAAAGAGTCGGAACGGCAGAAGCGCTTCACAAACACAAGAACGCCTGTGGCGCTGCAGGCTTCAATCAATGCAGAGTTCCTTCGACACTTGGCTCCGTCGTACGTGTGGCGGCAGGATTCGGCCACACGTGCGCCATCGACCATCAAGGCCGGGCGACAACGACCATTACTGCAACGACAGAGGGGAGTGAAGCAACACTTCGATTATGCAGGCAAGCTCCATTGCTTCGGCGACAACTATTCCGGCCAGTGCACCATCCCAGAAGGACTGGGTCATTGTCAGGCGGTCGCAGCAGGCTTCCGGCACACCTGCGTTATTACCGAAGACTGCTCGCTCGTGTGCTTCGGTGACAACGGACCCTTGGCTCTTATGTTAGCAACTTCATCTTCACTGCTCGAGATCCAGGGTCGGGCAAGCCCTGCCTGCGGCAGTGCGCCAGTTTTGCAGATGATGTCGTTCTTGGACACCACCAAACGGACGGCAGGGCCACAACGAAGGCGCCCGTACTTAGCGTTTCGGGTCATCACGGTCGGTGGGACCATCTGTCACGCTGACCTCTGGAACCATGCCAACTTCCGGCACGACCACGGGCAGATTCAAGTCGTCAGTTTCGTGTCAGCTGTCCACACGATGTCTTATCCAATGAAGCACACTGCCTTCCTTCATTTCAGGATGTCAGTCTTCAGCATTTCTCATGAGCCTTGAAACATTCTCCCGACTTTACATGTACTTTGTCCTCGTAGCGCACGCCTCGTCACGACGTGATTGGGAATCTTTCCACGGCCCCTTCCAAGGTAAAAATGCACACGAGATGCGGTTGTGGCTTTCGGCCTTGGGTGGCGAGGTCTTGTTTGTCTCCGATGCGGGGGCAAGGGAAGGGGGGGTGGACCTCGTCGTTATACCGACGACGGGGCGCTGGTGGCGATGGATTGGGTCGATGTACATTCCGGCAGGAACCGTCGACGCCTGCCTCGGCACACGGATGTCCTCACGCGGTGGAGGAAGAGCGAGCAGCGAACTTCTGTCTATTGATTTGGGGTTTGACCACATTTGCAGAGCTGTCGTTGCGACGTACATGTGCAATTCAACTGCGGCCGTGGCACGTGTGCATGTACGGAATGGCGCACAGCGGTCGGTAAACCACCCTTCCGGCAATCTCGTTGCGGCGACCGCAGCCAGGGCAGATAAGCTTGGTAGCACGCAGCCGAGACTTGGCCCAAGCAGCCGCAAAATGAACGGCGTCGCAGTACTGAAACTAAGGATGCGGCCAGTGCGGTGTTCCAGATGACCTGGGACCCGTGAGGTGCAGCTTGACCAAGGTTAGCCAGATGCTGCCATGCTGTCAGAACATAAGGTTGATTGCTGCGGGCGACTTTCACACCTGCGCAGTGACACAAACCGGCCACCTACGATGCTTCGGAAGTAATTCCTCTGGCCAGTGCGAGCCTCCGATGAGATTGACGGAGGTGATTGTGGCCTGGATTGACTATTCCGTGGCTTTGCGTCCAAATCGCATGCTGCCTGCATGCACACGCCAAGGCAGTGGCTGCTGGCGCAAATTTCACGATTGCTTTGTCACTGGATGGCAAGATCGCCTGCTTTGGAGCTTCTGGGCACGGGCAGTGCGACTTGCCAGAACAGTTGCAAGCGCTGGTGTTACAGGACCAGGACCGACTCTACACAATGCCTTGCCTGCAGAGAGGGCGTAGTAGGGCACTGAAAGATGCTGGAAGTGTCTGACTGTCTGACAGACTGCCAGACCGATGCGCTTGCGATGGTCAGGAGCCAGAGGAGCCTGAAGCATTGAGTTCTCCAAGTTTGAGTCCGGTCGCCGCAGACATTGATCCTGAGCCCTGGTGTGATTTGATGTGGTAGGGGAGGCATGTCGATTGAATTCCGATGCTATCGGCTCTAAGGACCTTGCTGATGTCGACCCGTTTCCTGTGCCGTTGCCTGGCTGAACAGACAGTAAGTGTGCTTGTGCACTGCGCGGATTCTATTCGCGATTCAGATGAACGCACAGGCCAGCCGAAGAAGATGTCTTCTCGGCAGAGGCAGAGCCTTTGATGCATACAGTTCTTGACTTGTCTTCAAGCATCAATGCCCTGGAAGCCGGATTCCTGAAACGACTCCGCAAGCTGAGGATCCACAATTGGGAATGGCGTCCACTATGGATAGCTTTGCTGAGAGTTTCACCACTATGGATACTTCAGCGAGCGAGCATCAGGACGGACAGAGTCAACGACGTCTGCAGACCTTTGAGCATCCTGGCTGTTCACACGAACTTGCCAGGAAGCCGAGCAGAACCCAGAGGAACAGGCACAAGCCAGGATACAGGCAGAGAGCGCATGGTACTGGCGGGGCTTATGCCCACGCTTTATTTGCCATGGACACGTTTCTGGAACTGAGAGGCCTTGCACCTGCAGATTGCCGATGCGTGGGAGCAGGCCCGCGCTGAAGACCCACTGTCACCAGACGCCCACGCGAAAGCACGGCTGCCGAAGGCCACTGCAATGGCGAAGCGATTTGAAGATAATGTTCGAGGACTTGCTGCTGGCAGTTTCCACTGCTGTGTCATCCTCGCAGATGGCTGTCCGGTGTTCTTTGGTGCTGCCTGACTGCAATGCCATGTGAAGTGCATAGGCCGTGCATCGCCCGGCCATGTTCCAGCAATCGGCTTGGCTGCCAAGGATGACAGTGCCAACCAGTGCACAGTACCAGATGGCCTTTCTCCTCTGATGCAGCAGCTGAGTAGTGACGAGCTTCCCCTGGCCCTCCTCGACCTCGATACAAGCAAGCCTGCAATTTTGTTTCCTCCTGCACCCGAAACAGCGGAGGATACAGTGGCCGACGTGGCCGGCTCTTGAATTCCTCTCGAATTCATGCATGTGCCGCTAAGCAGCCAAAGGCTTCAACAACTTAGAAGGCCATGCTGGTGCGTCGTGCAAACGCACGCATGCATCTGCATTCTAGGCCACCCTTTCTGGATTCTGGAGAAGATGGGGGTGGATCATAGCATCACACAGAGCAACGCGAATTTCCGTCAAAACCGATGGTGTTGCCAATCAGATTGAGTGAGACCTGCTCAAACGGGGTTCTCCACAGAGATCAACAGTGCAAGACATGCCGCCCCAGACGCCAACCCACAAAGCTCACCACTTTCAGAGTCAATGTCTTGGCCGACCTGAGGTGTGATTGTCCGGACCGGACCTGGCGTTGATTCGCCGCAGGCACCAGCTCGCCTATCTACTGGCTCCGTGGTTTGGGAGCTCGAGTTACTCGGAGCTTCCTGGCACTGTTCGGAAGGGTGCAGCATGCTAAGACATCTCCTTGACGGCGAGGTTGCTGTTAACTTTTTTACAGAAGCATCGAGACTCAAAGAAGGCTCATCAACATCAACAGATTGCAATGCTCGACTCTTCTAGCCAGTGGCCACTGTGCTTGCAACCAAGCGCACACATGTCAAGGTCCGTCTCCATTTCAGAAAACTGAGAGGCACGGCCGCGGTCTTTTTCAACCCCGTTCGAATTGAGCTTTGGGCCAGGCGATGGTCCCGACGAAGGCTGGATCAGCACCACTCTCAACCACAAGGTCCCTTGCATGCAGATGGAGCAAGATGGGGCTGAATGCTGGTTCGACCAAGGTTCTTGCGGAGCACTGCTCTCTGGACGATCCTTAGCATAAGGAAAGTGCAGTGCTTGTTGCATCATTTCGGAGCGACGATGAGGGGCAAGGAGGGATTATGTAGATCATCATAGCATATTGCCCGCCTGAGGAGGTCTCGGCCGCGAGCCTGATAGACGTGTGCCACCACAGCTTAGGCTGCTGCTCGGCGCAAGTTCTGTAGAAGCGCACGACTGCAGTAAGTCCCTTCCGAGTTTATGTCCAATCCTTTGCAGATGTGCACTTCTCCAAGGTAACACCCGGCACATCAAGTCGGCATTCTGCGAAGCTGATGACCTGGAACTGTTTCATGCGCTGTGGTCCGAGCTAGACGTCTCAGGCAAGTACAAGCCACCTGGCGGTGGCTTGGCGAAGCTAGCCCACAGCCTGCTAGGTCAATGCGACATAGCGCATGAAGTCATCAAGGCATGGCCTTCGTTGATAACCGCTATAAGACCGAGATTGATGTGGAGCTTCGCGGCGATTTTCATTTGCTTTTTTGGAAGGGCCCCAAGGCACGAAGTCTTTGACTCTGAGGCTGGCTGCATCTGCTTCCATCCTTCGAACATTGATTGCGGCTTGGCTTGTTGCTTTCCTGGCCTTCAACACACGACTCGACTTCGGAGGCCACTTTGAATGTGGAGATGGTCATGTGGTGGGCCAATGTCTATGAGGATGGCTCCAGTGGCTGCGATTTTCATCGCGACTGTCACTTCAGGCAACTTGCCGGAAGTGCTTGGAGGGTGCCCAGAATATTTCGTATTTGCCTGTGCTTTTCTGCTGAGACCCGACGTGCTTCTTCTGCATGAAGCGCTTGAGGTGGTAGGCTTGCAACCGGCGGACACCGCTCTCCACAGCAACTTAGGCACAACGTGAACGTGACAGCTGCCAGGATGCATGATGGCAGGAACTTGCACACAAAACAGCTGAGCCTGCCCAAGGTTAGTGCATCGTTCGGTGCCGCCAGCGACTGGTGCTGAACTGCAAGATGGCTTCTGATAGTGCTGTGGTGCTGGAGCTAAGGAGAACTGGTCTTTCGAAGTGAGGAGGTAGACACTGAGCCATCACCTTACGGTCGCGTCAAGCTAGAGGACACACATCCCTCGGCCTCTCGACCAAGGATGCCTTACCTCCAGTCCAACGGCGACATCATGGCATTCAATGCTTGGGTGGATGAACACTTCTTGCACCGAGTTTATCCTCAGAAGGTCAGGCATGGGCTCGACGGCTCAAGTTTTCGTTCTTCGTTCATTCTCTTCTCGAAGGAAGCCAGTGGCCCTCGGATTTCCATCATACTCATGGGACGAACCAGCATCTTCGAAGATCAGGCATCTCAGTGGCAAACCAAGTTTCTTTGGGCGGGCTGTAAAAGCTCCGAGTGCATTACAGGAGGTTCGCAGGATCAGTTTCAGACTCCTCATTATCCTGTTGTTCTGGCTGGCTTTGGGCAAGTGTGCTCCATCACTTTTCCTTGCCCTGGGGCTGGTTTCACTCCACGAGAGCTTCTCACGCGACTCTTCATCTCACTCAAAGCCGGACAAGTGTTCAAGCGATCTCAGATGGACACGCGCGCTATCAAGCGCCACCACGACCTCCTCCAGCAAAGCTGTGCCCTGTCATGGATGCAGTCTTTTTGTGAGCCATCGGGAGCAACCTAGCAGACAGATGTTCTTCACATTTTCGGGAGACAAGTCGTGACTGAGGCCGCCGCATTGTCAGCGACGCACTTCCTGTGGTGCTGCAACGTGAGGCAAGTAAACCTTCAATGTGCAGTTGTTGAAGACATCAAAAACCTTGAGGCGAAGCTGTGGCAGAGGAAGGCGCATCTTGAAGCGCAGCTAGCAGAGAAACGAGCACTTCGGCAGAGAAGACGGGAGATTGCGGCCTTCAACAGGCTGACTTTCACGGCATGAATATGTTCTATGCGAGCATCAGACACAAACACGTGCTGCCATGAGAACCTGACCCCAGCAGACAGCAAGAGATGCCGGAAACCCAAGCCCACAACATGCGGAGGAGTCGCTCACACGAGAGAATCGTGTTTTGCCATGTTGCAGCTCAGGAAGCAACCAGCCGCCAAGCCGCATGATGCTGCACTTTGCTTCACTTTGCCATGACTCCGACGGCTCCACGCGATACTCGTATCCGGAAACTTGGGACTGCAGGCCGAGATCCACTCACTCCGTACGCAAGCATGTGCTCCAGAGATGTGATCAAGCTGGAGCAGGACCAACCAGCTTTGCACGTTTTTTAGTCCCTATGATACCTCTTTGAACCTGTGCACTGCAACAGGAATTGGAGCATCTTTCCGGAAATCTGCAGGCCTGCAGTGTAAAGACAATTCTGCCAGGGCATGTCCACCACTGAATCTGTTTCAACAGGATGACTTGGAGGCTGCATCAGCACGAGGAATGAGCAATAGTAACAATAGCGGTAGCATTGGTAACAACCAGTGCCTGTAGACTTATCAACTCGGTGCTCCAAAGCTCCATCTGTCCGTCAGGGCCTTTAGCTTCCAGCTTGCAGCTTGCACACTATCATCACCAGAAACTTGTGCAGGCGCTGCATCACCTGGCCACTTGCTTGCAATGGTAGACTCTACGAAGCTCTAGGCACTTAAGCCATGGCAGGTTGGGCGGGCATCTATGCATTCTGCCGATGCGGGGCCAGCATTTCCGGAGAAAAGGTATTTTGTGTTGCTGATGAGTCTTGCCGGTTTGACGTTCGCCCGTGCTCTGCATATGCCACACGAGCTGCGCAGGAACATGAGCAAAAGCTGCAAGCCCTGGCGCATGCAGAGTCAGAGAGCAAGCGGCTAAGCAGAGACAGCTGTGCCGGACGGAACTCAACTCTAGTCGACGAATGAGGCTATGCCTGCTGGATGAAACAGCAGAGAGCGAAGACTCGTTCTATGCACTTCACCACAAGGTCCCTGAAATTTACGACGAATGCAGCTCTTCGAAAATGGCACTGTTGGCCCGGTCAGGCTGGCTGAGGTGTCGGCTGACTTGGAGGCGCTCGGCCGGTAGTCGCAATTTGCAACAAAGCGCACTTAGTACGTCGTGTTCACAGATCTCCGGCCATTCGCCACCAAGGACCTCTGGCAACAGTCGGAAGACGCTGTGGAAGTTCGTAGCTTACGTGGCTCTCGGTCCTGCAAAAGCTGGAAGCGCAATTTGTTTCTGGGCCGACCGAGGCGTGCGAGAAGTTTCGAGGCTTTGGTTGAGAAACAGACTTCAAACTTCAAGCATTATGTACACTCAATCGGTGTGTCCAGGTGCCTGGAAAGAAGCTGGAGCACTCAGGGGGAAGTCGATGTCAGATGCACTTGGTGAGTTCGTGTTTGCGTGTCCACGCTAGTCCCCGCCAGCTGCTAGCTGTGACTGCAGGCTGTTCAGCTTGCCACTGTGGAGAGGGGCCAGGTAGAAGAGGCTTCTGGACGATGTTCTAGGAAAGGTTGCTTGTTGACCTGCATTGCTCAAATTGCAGGTTCATGCACAGATGAAGGGGCTTCGAGTACATGCAGCCGGGGCCTTGCTCTGCTCGCATGGAAGAAGAGATCTGCACCCTACTGTAGAATCTGGAAGGCCACGGCCGAAATCCGAGCTGCGGAGCTCTGTCTGGAGGTTGGGCTTCTCACTAAACTTCCGACTGAGCCGGTGGGGAGAGGCGCTTCTGACTTGAAAAGCTGACTTGAGGCGGTGGACTCGGAGGTGGCGTCCAGCGAGCTCTGGCAGTCGCTCGCGAAAGTTGAAGGCGTCGAACGGCCAAGGGGGCTTTTGCAAAGGTGCGACATTTTTTGTGAGCTGGGGGCTTCCAGGCCAGGATCACCGAAGAGATGCTCTCACTGTCGACTTGCAGCATGCTCAAGCAGAGCAAGAGGACCCGGACGAAGCGTTTTGCTTCTTAATGGCTTTTCAGCCCTGGGAATGCAATCCACCAGCAAGCACATGAACCTGGGTGACAAGCGTTTGGCCTCGTATGGACGGCACGCGCACTGCAGGGCCTCGCCATTTCGTCTGACGTCATGCGCAAGCAGCTCAAACAGCATGAATTTTAGATAAGGGTGCCCAGCGCCATGGCGTGGGAGACATGGAATATAAGGCAGACGGCATGTGCTACCTTGTGCCCAATGTGGGGCTGTGAATGTGAACATGTCGACTTGTTCTTCAATCTGTAGAAGATGGCCGGGAACCTGGCAACACACATGCCGCGACACATGCGGCAGCGCATCAACATGCAAGACCGCACGCAACGCAATCAGTACCCTGTCTGCCGTTATGCAAACAACCCGAACGCTGTCGTCAACTCCGAAGTCTATCAACAGTGCCGAAGCATGGCAGCATACGGTAACATCGTATCGCTGTGGCCTAGCCAGAGTGGAGTCGAGTTTCCACAGACATGGCGACCGCTGGCTGGACCGAACTAGAAAAGCTGGGGAAATTAAAGCGATCCCATACGACGTCACCCCAAATTATCGGAAATTAGCCACCCGACCTGGAAATCGAAATTAAGTGATCTGGCCTCAAGCCTGCCGACCGCTGGAATTTTTGGGCGCTGTGGGAGGCTCTGAGATGTGGGAGGCTGTTCTCTCAGGGGAGGAAGCCTCGGCGGGGAATCCCAAATCACTTTGCTGAAGCCTAACGAATTGAATTTGGTGTTTTGGGGGCGTGGGAAGGCTGGAGGCTGGGGAGGCCCCAGGCAGGGAATCCAACATTAATTTGTTGAGGCCTAACAAATGTGTTTTGGTGTTTCCGGGATGTGGGAAGGCCGACCTCTAAAATTAACGGAACTACTGGTAGGATGCGACCCGACCTGACCTGGGCTTGCTTCCATATTTGCGGATTTTTTGTATTTCTTCCAGGAAAGGTCGGGCAGAGAACTCGCTGCCTGAGCACGAGTCATGAGCTTTGAGGTGCTGAAGACTGCGATCGTGGGCTTCATGTCAAGATAACGATCTGGCGATATGCATTCGGCCACGCGTGCGGTGTGGTACGGGCATGCTCCCTTCAGGAGTGGTTTCTGCAAGTTTGTTCAGTATACTCGCATCTCCAAAAGTTGCAAAGTGCCAATGTGAGCTGCTTCATTCAGTTCTGACAGGTTCCAGCCAGATCTTATTGACAAGTCCTCTTAGGCCTTCCTTGCCACCGCTTGTCTTTGCAAGCACTCGCCGGAGTCACCGCGGGCATCGAGAGCCACAGGGCTATCCTCAGCCAATCAATCCTAAAGGCTTTCTTTGTGTCTACATGTGCTTGCCACAATGCTCGAGCTGTCCATGCTTGCCGTTTTTGCGGCTTCGAGCATACCTGCCCATTCTGGCTTCTCTGCCTGGAGACACAGCAGAAGTCCGACTGCTCTTTGTTCTTTTCGTTTACTGTGATGCCCGAGAATAAGTCTCTGCGGAGCGCGGGACCTCATCCTTTGATCTGTGTGGCGTAGTGCTCTGCTACGCTGCGGCATGTATGTAACCCGGGAAGTCGCGACCGTCTCGCATCCCCAGCTCATGTCGGTGTATGGGGAGCAGGCATTATATTTATGGGCTGCCGCCACTGCCGCCGACCCCAAAAGAAGAGAGGTGACTATCCAAGGAACGCAGCAGGTGTTGAAAGCAGCCAACTGCAAGTCTTGTAACTGGCACGAGTAGCATGAGCACATGACTGATGCGGCGAAGTATTCGGACTGACGCAGTGCTCAGCTCTCGGACATTGTGTGCGCATGTTTCAGCAACCTTGTGACTCAGAGGCAAAAGGCATCCGCACAAAACCGAGTTTAGCCGGAAGGCTGTATTCGATATGCTTAAGATACGGAGCCAGTGCAGTTGTGGCCATGGGATGGTACGACATGGTACGACAAAAAAGTCGCGCGCGCGCGCGGCGGCGCATCGCAAGGCCGGGGCGGGCAGTGAGGACAATAAAGGTAGTGTGGGCGGTGTGGGCGGTGGGGGCGCGGTGGGGTCCGGGCACACATTGGCAGCCTTTAAATACTTATTTTACTCTTTAAACACCTACAAATACAGCGGGCGGTGGGAACGGTGAAAGCGGTGGAGGGGGATGAAGGTGGTGGGGGTGGTGAGGGCGGTGAGGGCGGTGTGGGCGGTGTGGGCGGTGGGGGCGCGGGTGGGGTCCGGGCACACATTGGCAGCCTTTAAATACTTATTTTACTCTTTAAACTTAAACACCTACAAATACAGCGGGCGGTGGGAACGGTGAAAGCGGTGGAGGGGGATGAAGGTGGTGGGGGTGGTGAGGGCGGTGAGGGCGGTGTGGGCGGTGTGGGCGGTGGGGGCGCGGTGGGGTCCGGGCACACATTGGCAGCCTTTAAATACTTATTTTACTCTTTAAACACCTACAAATACAGCGGGCGGTGGGAACGGTGAAAGCGGTGGAGGGGGATGAAGGTGGTGGGGGTGGTGAGGGCGGTGAGGGCGGTGTGGGCGGTGTGGGCGGTGGGGCGCGGTGGGGTCCGGGCACACATTGGCAGCCTTTAAATACTTATTTTACTCTTTAAACACCTACAAATACAGCGGGCGGTGGGAACGGTGAAAGCGGTGGAGGGGGATGAAGGTGGTGGGGGTGGTGAGGGCGGTGAGGGCGGTGTGGGCGGTGTGGGCGGTGGGGGCGCGGTGGGGTCCGGGCACACATTGGCAGCCTTTATAAATACTTATTTTACTCTTTAAACACCTACAAATACAGCGGGCGGTGGGAACGGTGAAAGCGGGGGAGGGGGATGAAGGTGGTGGGGGTGGTGAGGGCGGTGAGGGCGGTGTGGGCGGTGTGGGCGGTGTGGGCGGTGTGGGCGGTGAGGGCGCGGGGGGGTCCGGGATGGTCCGGGCACACATTGGCAGCCTTTAAATACTTATTTTACTCTTTAAACACCTACAAATACAGCGGGCGGTGGGAACGGTGAAAGCGGTGGAGGGGGATGAAGGTGGTGGGGGTGGTGAGGGCGGTGAGGGCGGTGTGGGCGGTGGGGGCGGTGTGGGCGGTGTGGGCGGTGGGGGCGCGGGGGGGTCCGGGCACACATTGGCAGCCTTTAAATACTCTTATACTCTTTAAACACCTACAAATACAGCGGGCGGTGAGAGCGGTGGAGACGGTGGGAACGGTGAAAGCGATGAAGGTGGTGGGGGTGGTGAGGGCGGTGAGGGCGGTGTGGGCGGTGGGGGCGGTGTGGGCGGTGGGGGCGCGGGGGGGTCCGGGCACACATTGGCAGCCTTTAAATACTCTTATATACTCTTTAAACACCTACAAATACAGCGGGCGGTGAGAGCGGTGGAGACGGTGGGAACGGTGAAAGCGGTGGAGGGGGATGAAGGTGGTGGGGGTGGTGAGGGCGGTGAGGGCGGTGTGGGCGGTGTGGGCGGTGTGGGCGGTGAGGGCGCGGGGGGGTCCGGGCACACATTGGCAGCCTTTAAATATTTTTTTACTCTTTAAACACCTACAAATACAGCGGGCGGTGAGAGCGGTGGAGACGGTGGGAACGGTGAAAGCGGTGGAGGGGGATGAAGGTGGTGGGGGTGGTGAGGGCGGTGAGGGCGGTGTGGGCGGTGGGGGCGGTGTGGGCGGTGGGGGCGCGGGGGGGTCCGGGCACACATTGGCAGCCTTTAAATACTTTTTAAAAGGGCGGCGGTGGCGGTAGGGGCGGTGTGGGCGCGGAGGGGTCTGGGCACACATTGGCAGCCTTTAAATACTCTTATATACTCTTTAAACACCTACAGATACAGCGGTGAAGGACTCTTTAAACAGAGCGGTGAGGGCGGTGGGGGCACTGGGGGCGCGGAGAGGTCCGGGCACACATTGGCAGCCTTTACATACTCTTTAAACACGTATAACAGCGGTGAAAGACTCTTTTAACAGAGCGGTGGAAGCGGTGTGGGTGCGGACACCTCTCGGGATATCACGGGCGCCGCCCGCAGGGGTCGGCGGATACTTGAGGATCCGTTCCAAAGTGTGAACTGCATACGTGGCACGAGAGATATCCACAGATCTACATCTCCTTCCCCTTCCTGCGCAGAGGAGCTGCGAGCACACATTTGGTCGCAAGAGCTGGCAGCTCAAATTCGCTCTCATCGCATGCGGTAGTGTCAGTGTGGCAGTGGTACTAGTGGGAAAGGGCAGACAGCATTCATGGTGCAAGGCAATACGATGGTGAATTGCTGGCTGCCCTGGCTGAGTCTATCCTTCAGAGACTGCTGTTTGCAACCTAGCCATTGTCGAGACATGCTTGTCCAAGCCGTTCTCTCTAGGTCAGAAGCGCAGCGAGCAGCAGTGACAGAATCACTGCAGCTGGACGCTGTGCACTGGCAGGACATTGACGAGTAAAGTCCTTCATCACCCGGGTGCATCAACTGCTGCAGGAAATTCGAAGCAGCATTCAGGAGACTCGGGATGCGCCATGTCCACAGTGAATGTGGTTCCTTGCAACTGTTTGGGTCTGCACAACCGGTGCTGCTTCAAGCCTTGCTGAGGGCAGCACAGCTGTACTCCGAACTGACTCGGACCGGACCTCAGCTGGATCTCGGAGGGCGCTTCGTGTGCCGCAGATGTGGCGTCTCATCTGAAGGCATGCAGATGGCTTCAAGGCCGTGACGACCAGGCAAGCTTTGCAATGTGCAAATGTGCAGCAGGCTGTGGCAGGTGAAATGGTCATACCTGTTGCTTCTATGCCTCCTGCACGAGGCATGCTGAAGCGGAAGCTGCAGGCTGCCGCACCACCTCCGTAAGTTACTGAAGCCACAGCATCCACAGCACATAGGCCGGCTTGTGGAGTGCTGACTGCTCGATCATTCAATTGCCGCAGCCGTGTCAAGCTAACTCCACGCAACCGGACTCCTGCAGTCCTCGGTGTGGAACATTGAACAGAGCCAAGGTCATCCGGGCTCCAGAACTCCACACCCGGCCATACCCACGTGTTGGAGAAACACTTTCTAGCGACAGAGGTTGAGCTCACCATTGTTCTCGAGCAACACGACAAACACGAGCAGCGATTCCCCTGAAGCCATCAGGATGCAGGTGCTTAGCAGAGCCTCTGGAGTTACCAAGTCCAGACGGCGAGTCTTGTCATCCCGTTCAGAAGTCAAGACTCAAGTACCGTGCCCAAAGCTTAGTTGGCTCTGTAGCTGCGGCCTTGGTATTCGAGCCGGCTGCACGTTGAAGCCTGAGCTTTTCGGCTTGCATTCTGAAAAGACGCAAGAAATGTGAAACCACTGAGGTCGATTGCGTCCGTGCATGTGCCCTGCTCGCAGTTCCAGTTCTAGGCACGGTCTTGAGCTCCTGCCTTGCAGCTTTCATGATGCGACTCAGGGCTGGCTCGGCATGGGCGCCGCGTGTGCCTCGTGCGAGAAGGCCCCGCGAACAGATCTGAAAATCCGCCGCAGCAGCTTCGCAGAGAAAGGCAGATGCAGCTGCCAAGCAGAGCGTCGGCGCGGCGAATGCTCAGCCAGTTCTTAACGCTCGGCCCCCTGACGTGAGAGCCTATCTGTGAGCCCACTGACCCTCATTTTATCTCTGAGGAGGCAGCTGTCCTGAAATTCCTTGGCCGGGTAAAACTATTTCAGCGCTTGCCGAAGGACCCGTGACCGGCGAGAACCTTCCTCTAGCAATATGGGAGTTTCCGAAAATTGGGGGTACCTTATTTGGGGCGTTTATAATATAAGGATTCCCATTATCATTTAGGGTACTAGATTAGGGTACCACATTTTCGGAAACTCCCATAAATGTTCGCTTGCCGCAAGCGGAGTGCCTCGACACGTGGAGGAAGTTCATACGACATTGGCCTCCGCTTGCCCCAAGCTCATGATCCGCAGCTTCCAGCCATGTCTGCAGGTCCAGACGTTGATGTTTGCACTGCCCACTCGAGGTGTTCCAGCAGAGTACAAGCCCAAGGCACGAATCATCTGCCAGGGCGACGACGGCATAGGCCCTGGATCGAAGGATGCAGTCCGAGAGCAGATGGTTTCAGTTGACGCGGCGTGATATGCACCCAGGTGACGAGTTCTTCATAATTCAAGCTGGCGAGGCAGACGTGGAAGTCAACGGCAAGAAGGCAATTCCTCCATGTCTCACACCATCTCACACCCAGGCCCCAGGCTTTAAATATCCGTGCGTGGAACCTTCGGCATTGCAGGTTGCCACGCTGAAGGCTAATGCAGCTCGGCATTTGAGAAGTGCAGGGTTCTATCGGTTGTGGTTGCTGTTTCTTCGACATGCACTCGCTGCTGAAGGACTACTTCGGCGAGAATGCCCTCTTACGAAATGAGCCGCGTACAGCCACCATCACTGCCAAGACAGTGGAATGCTTAGTCACGCTTAGTCACCAGTGGATCTGCGGCACAAGGAGAGAGATTCCAAAAAGCGATCTCACGAGACAGAAACTCGATGGTGAGGAGAGAAGAAGAGCTAGCTGTGTTTAGATGTGGTGCAACTGCACCAGCCCTATTCAGCGCCCTTTAAAATGTGCAGTCGACAGCTACTTTTCGAGATTGAAGACAAGAGTGGTAGGGTTTGAGGCTAGAGACATAACCCTGTGGCATCATAACCCTTGGATGCTGAGGATTTGAAGGCGTTGAAAATCGGGCGAGATCGCTTCGATCTTCTGGGCCTGAGGCAAAGTACTGTAGTGTGGGATGCGGAGCGGAGACGCCGTGAAATTCGGAAGCCCGAGCACAGGGAGAAGCTCGAATTCCCGCAGCGGAAGGCTGTGGGTGGTGGTGGCAAGCAGGCATTGATCTCAGCATACGTAATAATCCTGCTGCCGTCTGTCGACAAGCTTCATTGCACAACACATCCAATTCCAACTGTGCTGCAAGTTGTGGCTCAATAGCCTTTCCATATGCGAAGTTTGTCAAATCCCTTGGGATGCCACAAGAAACCTGAGCAAAGCACTTTCGAGCACCTCTGAGCGCTGGAGGCTCGCTGGATGCACTGTTGCTTCTCCCATGCTTTGGAGCAATTGCTTCTTGCTTCTTCAGGCTCCCAAAGCACAGACGAGGCAACGGTCTTAGTTGCGGCATCGCAACCCGCTCTCAAGTGATTGTCGGGTCTGCACGCATCTCAGGATGCGCAGAGCCTTCGGGCTTCTGCTGGTCTGCATTCTCGCAAGCGCTATAGATCAGAAGAGCTTGCTGGCAAGCCGCACCGCAGAATCTTGGCATAAACAGCCAAGTACTTGCCAATCCCGATTCATGCTGCATGCTGCTGCCACAGCTGGAGTTTCAGGCTGACTCCCTGATGGAAGGCGAAAATGTGCAGTGCCTTGGGCTGTATCAGACTTTCAGGGTGATGGATGGTCCCTGTCATGGCAGCACCCATTTCTTTGAGCTTCCGGGCTTCCATACCTGTCGGCTACAAGGCGAGATCGGCTCCGGTCAGCGGCTGAACGCCCTGCTCGGGGCATTCGGTCCAAAACTTCGGTGAAGTTCGGAAATCACGGCACCTCGCTTGGAATTGAGGGCTCAGATCGCATTTGGCTGTGCATCCCTCGAGTATAGCAAGCTCCCAGAACATGAGCTTCTCAGGCAGGACACTCTCTGCAGGCCGGGGCTCTGTCAGGACCTGCATGGCACAGCGACTTGTTTTGAATCCCAGGGTCGTGCTCTGCTCTTGAAGCGTGAAAGCCTGCCCTTCGTCAAGGGGCTTTCTCCAACGGGCTGTGAGCTTCCCTGTTCCTGGTCAGATGGCAAAGAGAAGTCCGAGGAACAGGCAGGATCAGGAGCCCAGAGTCACAGTGGTTGTGGTTGAGCGTGAACCTTTAGAGATGTTTTTGATCAGCAAACGAGTGGAAGTGCAAGCGGGTAGGTTGCACTTGCCCTCGTCACCGACTCTGTGCGCACGCGTGGCTTCGATTCCATGAATGCGAGGACCTGATGACACCCTTCCACCTTTGGGCTCTTACTATGCAGATTGGAATCCGGCAATCTACAGACACATGGCTGCAATTGGTTCAGAGCCTTTCGTTGTACGTCGACCGAACTACATAGAACTCACCAAATTGCAGACTGCCGACGTTCTTCAGTTCTTCAGGTGCGCTCAAGTATTCCATCGTCCAGCCCCTAATGTTGAGGTGAGCGTTGCCTGACAACTCACCTCTCACCGCAGAAGATACAAGTCAGGTTCGAATCAGCACGGTGGACAGGAGCATAGACATGGACAAGCCCTACGAGGATCCGGCACGAGATCAGCTCCACAAGAGCGACTAGAGTAGAGATGACCAGAGCTGGCACCAACAGGATGGCGGGCTTCAGGAGTCTGTCGGCAGCGGATTTCTGGCGCCTCAGCTGGGACAAAGTTGCAAGGGAGCTGAAGCCTGACTGTCTCGGGGACAGGTGGATGAGAACACAACTATGCTCGGCGACGATGATTACACGTGGCCTCCTTAAGGGGCTTGCAGCAGTTGATTGGAGCAGCTTCGTTTGAATCGCCACCGGAGCCTCTGTCAACCTGATGTTGCGACGCTCTCTTTTAAGATTCGTAAAAGTGCCTTGTGCCACGTAAAGTGCGCAAGGATAGTCACCAATGCGCATGTGGTTCGGGGCTCTGGCATCGTGCCGGACTCAGCTATGCCAGATTTGCAGTTGCGTTCAAAGTAGTGCCTTTGGATGAGGTTCAGGACTGGACCGTTGTAAACCACTCGTAGCGGACATTCGGCTCTAAGCAGGTTCGCAGTCGAATGTCCGAGTTATCAACAGACGGTCGCCCAAGTTAAGCCAAACTGGCCGACTTGCAGTCGCCTCTCTACGTGACAAATCCGCTCCCCTCTCGAAGCTAGGCCGTTCGTACTGAACCCCGCATAAAGGGACCTCTGTCTGAACCCAGTCTGAAGCTCCCCAAGGTCCGAGTGCAGTTCCCATCTTTGGGGCGCCATCTCTTCGCAGTGGGCCTAGCCAGGTTTGGAGGCGGCAGTCACGCAACAAACCCACATGTCAGTTTGTTTGCCGTACGAGGATGCCACTGTGCCCATGATTTGCTTCCAGTTCGATTTGGCGCCACGCAGCTTCAGAGAAGACTGGACACAGGGCGGGTCTACAGAAGTGGCTCGAGCGAGCCTGACCCTGACAACACAAGGATCGTGAAGCTGAAAGATCCCACGGAATTGAGGGAGAAGCTGAAGCTCGCCAATGTGACCCTTTCTTTGTCCACCACCTAGATTGAAGTGTCGTTGTACAGATCCCCGTTTTGCTTTTGCTGAGAACTGGACTCGAGGTTGAAGTTGCAAGCGCGGAATGTGAAGATGGGCATGCGCGTGGCGGCATTGGGCTTTCCCCTAGGCACCGTGGATGCTAGTTGCAGTGCAGTGCAGACTGTGGCTGATTGTGGCTGTCGAGATGCTGGACAGGGAGCCAGTGGCTCAAGCTCAGCGAGGGCGTCGTGTCTGGTGCTGAGGCCACAGATCAGAGAAAGCGGAGTTGCTTGACTCCAGTGAGAATTTGGCAGGTGGTTGAAGACAACATGGTCTATCAAAGCACTGCGCCGATCAGCCCCGGAAACAGCGGTGGTCCATTGCTTGTCTTCAGATCAGACAGCCTGGTGAGATCGGCCAACTTCGATGCCGAAGGGAGGAAGCCCACTTTGGACACTGTTGTGGGTGTGAACTTCGCATCTTCTGCATCCAAGTCAGCGCAGAATCTGAACTATGCCGCGCCTACCTCAGTAGCGTCGCAAGCATGTCAATTTCTGCGAATGTGTGGCCTGAAGAGATCAGCAAAGAACTGGCACGGCATTCCTCATTAAAGCCATGAGTTCGGTGTCCAAAGCAGTCTCCTTCCCAGAAGTCAGTAGGGACAGTAACTGACAGTGAACCTTGCGATTGGCCAGCGGCATGGTGTGGAAAATCCCGAGCCCAGGGCACCATATGTGCTTGCCCAGACAAGCTGGCAACAAGTTTCCTACGAAGCCACCAAGCCGGGGCTGTCCCTTGAAGCGCTGGCCACAGTGGCATGTCGCGAGCTGTGTCGAGGTGCCGGCGTTTCGCATCGTCCAGGTCTTGGCCGATGCTTGCCCTGTCAGCTGAAAGACTTCTTGAGAGCTTGCCAATCTTGCTGCTCGAATGCCTCCCGTGTCGAAGACCCCCTGTGACAGCTTTTGTCCTCGGCAGTGGGTTGGCACATCCGAGGCATACGCGAGGATGCGCAGCTCGGCAAAACCGTGTTAGAGAAAGTGCAGAGGTTGCATGGCACAGATATTTGTGCATTGAGGTCGATGGCTTGTTTTGATGTCGCCATGCCTTGCCCATCACAGACCGAATCATGAGGTCAAACAGACTGTGAGGAAGCCTTAGACGAGTTCGGTCGCGGAACAAGGACCCAAAATTGTGTGAACACCGACTTTTGCAAGTGCTGACCTGTGAATGCATATGTAGGTGTATGTTGTGAGGGGGTGTACGTGCGTATGTTTAAATATATGCATATCATCGATCTTATTTGTTTATAACTGTTTGTATACACATGTATATATATATATATATATATATACACGCATATCCATATATCCTCATACTCATTTTCATATCATTTATTTATCTACAATTTGTCAATGTTTTCCGCAGGCGTCATATGGAATTGCGCATCGCTCCCGTCGGTGCTCCGCCTAACTTGTGCTGCAAGTGGGCAATGATATGCCTCATGGACTCATGGGAGATGAGGTGTGGTGTACACACAGGCCACGCAGGCTGGACCAAGTGCATTTCTCGCTCCTTTGGGTCAGCATGCTGCTTGTGCTGAATCAACTGAAACTAGTTGCAATGCTTCATGGCGCAGGCACACCTGAGGAGAAGCGGCTGTAAGAGCGGTGTGCCACTGGTGTCTTGCCTGTCTGGGCTTGCTTCCAGATTCCCCCGATCGCTCGTAAGTTCGAGGATCGCTTCATGCCGTTCTCACTCTTCCGCTGGGCCCACCCGCCCATCAAGCCTGGCAGCTTCTTGGTCAAAGTGGTGGGTGCCTCAGACAGTCTTCCGCATGGCCCTGCTGGGCCCTGGGCCCCGACTCCCAGCAGAGGACGAGACAGAGTTGGACACCTTCGGAATGGGCAAAAGCCACTGGGACCCCGTTGACGCCGCATGCAGCATTCTCAAAGCAAAATCTGTTCGTGGTATGTTGGCAAACAAGGATTCGATTACATGCAGCAGTACGTCAGCTTCAAGGATTTGCTTACATTCCGGGAGCACTTGGACGACATTGTAACCGTGACTACGTGCATCCGAGCCGCACATACTCGGGCAAGGCATATGCAATGCTTTGCTTCGAGATATTTGCGTATCAGAGAAAGCTGTGCTGTGGCTCTTTTGATGTCAATAAGGCACCAACGGCATCATAGCAGAGCACCGTCTGAGTCTGCCACTGGCCAAATATGTTGCAGCTTGTTCTGTGGAGATGCATGCAATTTCTGCGGGGTCCGATCTCGAATCAGCATCATGCGAAAGGAAGTGGAACAGCAGCCGGTTTGAAGGAGGAGTCCGCTACTTGTATGAGCCCAACTTCGACGAAACCGCAAAAGACTACGCAGCTTTACTGCATGGACATGTTGTGAAGGTGGCCTGAGGTTGGACTGCCAACAATGCCGATACGTGTCCAGATACTGCAGCCATGCTTCCTATCGAACTCGCTCTTGTGAGGAATGGTTCTCGGGGCTGACCATGGTCCAGCTTACGTTGAACCACATTGACTCGTCGCTTGTTATGACCATGTTCTTTGCGTTCCACTTTCTCCTGCTTGCTGCATGCAGAGAGGGACAATGTGGGCTCAGCAACAGGTGGATTGCCCAGCTTGGCGGGGAAACTTTGGGGAGATTCTATTTGGAGGCTCAATTTCTGCGCAACATCGCCCTGTCGCTGGCCTTGCCCGTCGAAAGCATGTCCAGGAGAACACTCTTCACCCTCGCGTCGCTATCACATCGTGTGCGTCCGGGTTCAGCTGCGAAGAGATTGTGGGCACTGGAATGATCGTGCCTGGGCACTGCTGGGCAGGGGTTCAAGGCATGAGCACGAAGGATGTTCATCTGCACATGTGTCCGAGGTGGAGAGTATCAATGGCAACCTGATTGCAAGGTGCTTGAGCTGACAGACACTTGTAGAGTGCGTGCCCTGGTGCCAAGGCTGCCCAGTGTCCACGCTTGCGGACATTCGCCGGTGCTTCATCCCCAAGACCGGCCTTGAAACCTGGGAGCTGGTCACAGATCGAGGTTTCTGACACAGTTAAGTTCGTGGCTCGTGGCGCTTGGGCGGAAGATATTTTTTGCTCCAGGAGTGGCGCTGGCAGTGGACTTCCAGGAAGAGATGAGCCAAGCTGTCCGCCTTGTGCATGAGGACGCGCAATCCCGATGCTGCAGTCACTCCATGGTTCACCGGACCATGCCCTGAGGATTTGACCTTGCTGAGCAAGGCTGTGCGGGAGGCTGCTTTGTGGCTCCGTGTTCCGGCAAGGAAAATAGTGGGAGTTGTTGAACAGAACGGCTTAGCCACCCTCGCAAAGCCATGCTGCCTACAGACTGTACTCACTCAGAGGGCAGGGAGGCGAAACAGTGGACAGAGTGAGAGAAGCATGTCAGGTAATTCGTCGTCCCGGCGAGCAGCTGAACCAAGCAAGCCAAAGAGAGGTGGGGATAAAGATACGAAGAACCACAGCAACGCGACGAATAGCTCTGGGAATCTCGATGGCAAGAGGCGGCTTCCCAAGAACGGTGGCGGAGGAGGAACTCCAAGCTCAAACCAAGGAATTCTTCTGGCAGACTTGGAGAGCAGGCAGATGCCGATGAGTATCACCAAGATGTCGGAGATGATGTGGACGACCCAGTGGAGGCTTGAAGAGACTCATCTCTGCCGCATAACCGGATAAGGAGTCTTGCTTCGCCTGCAGGTGGTCGTCCATAAGCGCAGGAAAAGAAGGCGACGGATGCTCCCTCGCCTGTGCTGTGTCATAACCATGTTGTCATAGGAGGAGGGGCTGGACGCCTTCGACCAGCGAAGGCAGGCTGGCCGCTCCCTTGATTCCACAAGCCACTCAGACCACACACAGTCTGTGTACCTGGTGGACTTGAAGCAGCGGGTGCCAGTTCTGCGGCCCTGTCTCAAACAAGGATAGCCATGATGCACTTCTCAGTCGACATGCCAAGCAGCCCGACATCGAGAGAGAGGCAGTGGCGCAGAAAGCCGAGAACTTGTCCTTTGCACCAAACGTCGGGGATCCAAGTTGAATCCTGGAGCCTGAAGCTGTATCGGGTTTTGGGGCAAGGGCAGAGAGAGTCCTGCAAGGACACCACTACCAAGAGCCAGACGGCCCACTCTAAGCACCCCATGCGCACCGGCCACAAGCATCGGAAGCTCGCCTTGTTATGCGATGAACAAACAGCCTGTACACAGCAGCGCGTGTGATGATGGATTGAAGTGGGCCAAGGCATTCCAGACAGAGAGATGGTACGAAGATTCGGGATGCGCAGGCCCGAGTGCGTGAGAACTCTCTGACTGGTGAAGCTCGACTCTACCAGGCAGATGCCACGCACACCGAGAAGACGAAAGATTCACGGGAGGATTGGGATTCCGGATTGGAAGTGCAACATGTGTCTCATTCCTTTGCATGTTTTTGTTGGCTGCTGGAGTGGGTTTGTGCTTCCTGAGCCCGATTTTTTCTCTACTGCCAGGTTGAGCAGGAGAAGCTCAGGGCGAAATATAACATGCAGGCATGCTTCGACTGAAGCTCGAGCTCTTACTCACGTTTACACTTCCGAAGTTGTCCCTGATGATGAGTCAGCTAGAGAGCATCCAGAACGTGCTGGCAGACAGAATGCAGAGAGAATCAGTGCTGGCCTGCATCTAGGGGGCTGCCGGCAGGTCACACCGACTGGAAGCTCGATGCCTTTCCAGGCAGAAGCGCCATGCCTGCTTAATTTATCACCCTGAGGGCAGGTTGTGTTTCTGCCGGGAGGAAAAGCATGTCTGCAGGTCGGCAAACTGGGCGCCTGAAGCGAATTGAAGTGACGGCTGCCGTAGACCTAGCAACGGTGTGGCAGGATCGTGCAGGTGCTGCTAAATGGCAATCACCCACAGCCTGCCGTTCTCCTCTATAGCCAGGTCGCAGAATGCAGTGACCTTGGACCGTTAATCATTCTCAGCCGATCTTTGTGAGATCTGCCGGACAATCTAGCACCTTCTCGTGAAAGACGTGCTGGGCTGAAAGAGCTCAAAAGGAAAGAGCCAGATCCTGCTGGAAGCTCCAAGCAAGCCGCCAAAATTCCCTTGCGCCTCAAGGAGCTGGTGACGAAGCCACCCAGCCCGAAGACAGATGCAGAGAAACAGCTGATGATTGAGGCCGGAAAGTTTCATTGAGAAGCTCTCCGCTTGCTGTGCCGAGAGCTCCGTCTCAGGCACTGAAGCAGAATGACAACCTGATGAGTGTTGAACCTTGGCTGTCAAGCATGTTAAAGGTTCTACAAAACCGCCAGAGCCGCGAGGACCCACGCGGATAGTTTCCTGAGTCGCGGGTCGCTGCGTAGCGCCTAAGGTATCGCTAAGCGACGCCAACCTCTCTCAGATGGTTGCGGTTGCCTGGAAGGCGATGTCTAGAAGAGCAAGAGACAGAGACGTGGGCCCTGCTAGCCTGCGAGGAGGAGGTGACGGCTGGCACTAAGTTGATCACCGAAGGAGGGGTCAAACCAGCGGGTCAGTTCCGTGATCCTTGAGCCTTTGAGCTTCACAGCAAGTTGAGCACGATGGCATTCTGGAAGGTGATTTAAACGCCGACTACTTTTACGTTGTGCAGGCTCGGAACTGAAACGGGTGTGTGCCACGATGTGCACCTTGCTTTGCGGCGCAATCGTGACATGACAGGAAGGGAAGTTCGATGTCGTCATAGGAGGGTCGAAGACTGCAGAGGAGGGTGGGCCGCAGGTGGCTGCAGCCTCGGAAGGGTGCAGAGCTGTCTACAACACGGGATGTCGCGACATGGTCAAAGGTTGCGTCCATTCCAAAAGGCGGAAGCTTTGGTGAATTGGCACTGCTCTACTTTGCCCCACGTGCAGCAACCATCCAGGCGGATGCCCTCGTGGAAAGGTGCTTACATCGCAGGGGAAGAGTCTTGCCAGGCAGCAGAGGATGCCATGGTCTGGGTGATTGACCGCAAGAACTTTAAGGACTCTCACTGCCTGTGAGCCTTTGGAACTTGCCTGTCTTCGGATGCATCATGTAGCCATGTTCTGTCAAAGGAGATTCTGGCACAGTCCTCCAATGCTACGGCTAAGGAGTACATAAAGTATTTGGACAAGGCAGCGAGACAGACGAGAGATGACGCGAGGGTGAGACGCAATCGAAGCCTCGATTCCCTGAAGGTGGAGATTTTGGCGCCACTACAGGCGCCCGGCGATTGAAAAGTCAGCAGACCGGAAGCTCCGGGTGATTGGAACAGGACGACGAGAAAGCGGCCGTTGCGCAAAGCTTATCCGAAATGCATCCTTGCTGCATCTGTGGCAGGTGCTCGGTACATAGGCTGGGGAAGAGTTCGTTCCGTCATAGCGAGTTTGCCCGTTCCCAGGACTTTGACCCAAACTTGGAAACCAGTCCCTGGAGATGGCAAATCCCAAATCAGTGCTTGTTACCTTCCAAACTACACCATTCCAGGTCGTTCAGCCGCGGAGAAGTGATCTTCCAACAGGGGGAGAAAGGCGACCAGATCCTTGTTGAGATGCATGTAGTGAGCAGTAGGAGCCATGAGATCACGAGGGAATCCGTTTCGACTGATGCCAGCTCAACACAGTTGTTGCCAGGCGACGCCTTCTACATTCTCATTGAGGGACAGGCGGCAGCTAAATGCGTGTGCGCTGCACCGGTTGCAGATCGAGCAGCGAGGAGCGCATACTGGTAGCATGACCTTGGTGTTGTTGCTGCAGGTCAGCGTTGTGAAAGACGGAAGAGAGGTCACAAAGCTAATCGCGACGCCTGAGAAAGCTTCGTTTTTCGGCCCCTGGCTTGCATTAAACCGCGTGGCCGCATAGATGAAGCTGTCTAGCATATTGAAGCTGCCTCGCCTGAAGGAGACAGGGCTCTGCTGAGCAACGAGCCACGGAATGCGGTATAGCTGCACTGGAACACGGTCGGACGCGTTCGTTGATGGAACGTATCGCCTGCCCGCATGGGGGCATCTGAGGGTGGGAATGCAGCTAAGGCAACGTTGCAGGTGATCTCCGACACGGCCAAGGAAACGGCATGCGGCATGAACAAAGCGAAATCTCGATTTGCCATTGTACGAAGCCGTCACGAGAACCGTTCAATGGACTTTGTTCAGCCTGCAGACGCTGACCGTGGACCGGCAGTCCTTTGACATGGTCCTTGGACCACTTGCCGAACTACAGACGACGCTTTACTGATTCAGATGTGTGGACGACATGACATGGTCCAGGCACCGAAAGATTGCTTCAGCGCCACAGCACGCTTCACTCAGGAGAGGCAGAGGTGGAAAGAGCAAGCTGGGTGCGACTTCGCCGCCAGCAGTGCTAGTGGTGGGAGTTTAGTTCCGGTTTCGTGATTGAGATGATCGGATTTGACAAGTTGAGAGTGTGCCAGTGCTTCACGGTCTGCCAACCGCTTCAGTTTAGAATGTTTGGCCACATGAACTCAAAGGCCCGTGTGAGTCCGATAATTCAAGAAGATGCCCCACCGACGACCCGCTAGTATTAGTTTGCATGTCTCTTGCAACGTTCCACACGTCTACATGAAGCCATTCAGCAAACGCACCGATACGACAGCAGCAGTGCCACCATCGCCACACCAAGGGCCGCAGCGTTGCCAGTAGCGCTGCCGCAATGGGCAATGCAACCCGAAAGTTTGGATTGATCTTACGGAAGGATCTGCCGGTTCCTGAGATTTCCTGAGTTGAACACCGGCCGTGTAGTTTGTGCTTCCTGTCGGAGCGTCGAATGTGCTGCGACAACACGCAGCAAATGTTTGCATGTCATTGGAAAGGAAGAGAATTGGATTGCTTGGATGTGGTGGCTTTGGTGCTGTAGAGTTGGTGGAGCACGCTGCATTGGGCGATACCTATGCCTTGAAGGCCGTTCGCAGTACTGCTTCATATGGATGACATAGACATAGATGGCAACACGACACATCTGCATGAAGGCTCTCAGTAAAGGCTACGTCATGAAGCACGCCGCTGAGGAGAAGCTGTTCTGCCTTGATGTCATGATTCCGCATAGAGCGAGAATGCAGACGTCATTATATGTTTGTGTGTGTCTCTCTCCGTGGCGACCGAGGTCGGGCATGCAGCAAAACGCAAGCTTCTCAGATGTCTGCCAAGATGGCAGGTAGCTTTAGTAGCTTTAATTCGTGCTGATTACCTCTAAATCATGCCTGCCAGTCACGAGCTGCTTCGTTCTGCTTTGGCGTTAGTCGCTCGCATTCGCTCCCTGCTTGCTTCCCACATTCCAACAAGCATTACAGACCGCCTTGTGGCTGCTCGCTGGCATCTGCCAGCGGCCACGAGGTCTTGAACGAGAAGAACGTGCAGATCATGTGCGATTCGCCGTGCCTGGATGCAGTTTGGGCGTGCGACATCAAACCTGAAGTTATGTGTAGTTCCGCGAGTTTCTGAGACAGGTTCATAATCAAGCTGTACGAGACGTACAACGGCACCCAATCACTGTACTTTCTCCTGGAGCCCGCACTGGGAGGCTTCTTTGATCTATTTCAATGCCGCCACCTAGATCAAGCCTGATCTCTTGTCCGCAAGGTGAACTTTATGCAACCTACAACAAGAAAGGCGTTTGCCCCAGCGCGCAGGTGGACAAAGTTCGAAATGCCGAAAAAACCATTGCGCTGCAGGTCTGTTCGGCAAGGAGGGGCACGCCAAATTTTATGTTGCCGGTGTGGTCAATGCCCATTGGCAAGATCTTACAGGACACATGAGTTGAGAAAGCACGAATGATTGCTTTTCTGCAGCCGAGGCCTTCGAGCATCTCCATGGCAAAAAGATCATCTTCCGTGATCTGAAACCGGAGAATCTTTTGCTTACAGAGTGCGGCCGCCAGCATTTCGTCGGGTTATCGTTAACAAAGCCCTGTGCCCGACTGCAAAAGCTCCCAGGCTTGGCCATATCAAGTTGACGGACATGGGCCTTGCCAAGGTTGTGGTCGGCAAGTAGATTGCCCAGAGCCGTCCATGCCGCATCGCACATGCACATTCTGTAGGTCCCAGGACTAGTATAGAGCAGTAGCAGCCGTCAAGGACATACACTACTTGCGGCACGCCCGACTACTTCGCACCGGAAATGATCGCATCAGCTGGTCACACAATGGCCGTTGATTGGTACCGCGCCCGCACTTTGAGGAATGACCCTATCGCAAGTTGTCACAATTCACACGTGAAGACAAAGCTACGCATCACAAAGGTGGACTTTGGGTGCATAGCTCAGTGGTTTGCTGTGTGACGCGTTTTGATTCCTCTGGCCAGCATTACACTTGACGACCTAACATCAGGCGTCTTGAGCTTCGAGCTAATGGCAGGCCATCCGCCATTCGAGCCTCAAGCTCATATACGATGCTTCACCACCACCAGAGGGTGCCATGGCGCGCTTCACGCCGCTGCAGAATAAGGTCGCCACATCCTATGCAGATCTACCAGAAGGCTCAGTGAATTCAGTTCCTATGTGGAAAGTGCTGCATGAAGCCGCAGTCACAGGTAAACAAGGGCATCACCAAAGTGAACTTCCCCAACAAGATGAAGGGTGTAGTTGAGGCTTCTTCTGACACTGCAGCAAGTCGCTTGTGCTGCGGAGCCTCACAAGGATCTCGTCAAGAATCTGTGCAAGAAGGACGCTTGATTTGTTCTCGCCCTGCCGCAACAAATAGAGGAGAAAGCAGGCGTGCTCTAGGCTCAAGGAGTCACAAGAAGATAACAAGGCCTTTTCTTACTATGCCACTCAGCTTCGAACATTCGCGAGGAGCCTGCTGACAGACTTCCTATGAGGAAGGGCGGAGCTGGTAACATCCGGAAGCACTCGTGGCAGCGTGTCAGCATCCAGTCGGGTCGGCCTCGTTGAATCGTTGACGTCCGGAGCCACAAATTCAGGTTCACCACCTTCGAGTGGGAGAAGTACGACAATGGCAATATGCCTTCGCCCTACAGGCCCCAGGCAAGACTGGGCTGAGTTAGCACTCGTCAATGTGCAAGTGCTCTCACGCAACAGAATGAAGGAATAACAGAAATAGTACATGCTGCAGCCACAAACACGCCGTATCCCCAAGCCTGAAAGCCGTATTGTTGGGTTTTCGGCATCCTTCTTCCGCCTTGGCACAGGAACTTCTAAAAGTCCTTATCATATAAGTCCTTTTGTGTATTGGCACTTGGAATCAATGGAGGCAGACAGAGCAATGCACGTTGTCGACATTCGAAGGCCGTTCGAGCGCACATGTAGCATTGGCTGCACTCGGCGGCAATGCCCTGAGAGCCGCTCGGGTTCTCCTTGGCAAGCACCCTAGGCCCGCAACAAAAACCATCGCACCAGCGACACATTCAAGACCACTCACGCATCAGCCACATGCACACGAAACCGGTCTCATGGCTCAAAAATTGGTTCAACCTTCTGCGTCAATTCGCTCAAAGTTGTTTACTGATCACGGACAGGGTAGTTCTCCGTCAGACAAGACAAGCCTTTGAATATTGGCCTCGGATGTGGGTGTTGACGGCTGGTGTGCCTTAACATGCCTGAGGGACAGGCGTTCACTGAAGATGAGAGCCCATCCCTGTTTCCTACCAAGACCTTCAGCTCTGGAAGGTTTCGGTCAAGGTCTTCCCCTGAGCATCCTCGAGGTAACCTGTGTGCAGAAAATCACAGAAACCATGCAAAAAAAATGCTTGGGAAGCCTTTGAAGCCATACCAAGCACCAGCCCGTTGTGTGTCGGGCGACCCACTCAATGTTTTCGACGGACAACAGACCGATGTTAAGGCTTTTTGCAATTGCCCCCAGAAGGAAACTTGAGAGCAGGCAAACAAAGTTTCGACGTCACTATCATCTCTACAGCGCTTACCGGGATCAATCAGGGACTTGCTTCACGGTGCCTGCTCAAGTGCAACCACTCCGTTCGTCCAGCGCCTGGAGTAGGTGCAGAGCAAGAAGGATATGGCAAACTTTGCCGCACGGAAGGAGGCAGGTGTTCCGTTTCGCTCTGTTGACAGCGCAGTGCCAATGCGAGAAAACAAGGACATGCCACCCAACGTGCAATACAAGGCTGGTCGGCAAGTCCTGTAACATCGCCAGCGTACAGGGCATGACTTGCGGCCCATCATGTCTGGCGATGTGACATGTCAGGATGATGGCTCTGGCTGGGATGCAGACTTCGCCACCTGCTCCTGAGCAGAGGTCGAGTGCCGCCTGGTTCCCGCAAGTATGCTGCCGGCTATCGGTGCCGCGGGCCTGTCGAGGAGGGAGCTTGAGAACCAATGACCAATGGTCTGGTCGCAGCATGATCAGGCATTTAATGCCTCTGCAAAATCCGAGGCGACTGCCTTTAACTGGGGCCGTTACACTAAAGTTGGTAAAGATCGTCGATTTGTCATGATTAGTGCTTCCTTATAGTTGTTGGAACAAAGTGTCGGATTATGCAGCTGGCAGAACTGTTAGTGCACAAGTGCTTCACAGCCTTTGATTCGTCGGCTGCGAAGCTGTCCGACCGTGGACGTTGCAAAATGAAGTACTTCTCTATGGTCGTTTCGAGTTTCCCTGATTTAGCCTTAGCCACACACGATCGTACATGAGAGCTGGCCCCGGCCACCAGGCACCAGTCGACTGCAGAGTTTGCAGAGCGAGTTCCAAGAGCATGCTGGCCAGGCTCGCCATGCACCATGCATGCTGCTTGTTGTGTTCGCATTTCAACGACGCTGGAACGAGATAAGTGTTTGCTTTGCCTAGGGTCAACACCTCGACGAGAAAGCTGCCCAGCATGGACCCCGACTGGTGTGGGCACGTGCGTTTGAGCCGAAAGCGCGCAACCTTGCGAGGCTAGAAAGAGAGTCGCAAGACCTCCAAGAGAAGCTTCAGAAGGCGCAGAGCAAGAAAGAGGTGCCAAAGCTAAGCCTCACCTGCAGGCCTTAAGCTTTCACCATGACTTTCTGGCTAGGATCTCGTGGGAACCCTGGCAAAGAAAGAGCAGGAACATGAAGAACTTCTTGCTCAGAGCTCAGATAACCCGGAGCCTCTTTAGGCGAAAAGCTGCGTTCTCACTTGTTGTTTTGAGGTCCGAAAGGCCGACCTCAATGCTGAGCTCGAGGCACGACCACGCGTCTAGTTCAGCTCAGCGATGATGACACTCCCATCCTAGACTCCTAGGTCCTGGATGAGATCGTACCATGCAATGACTGTAACGTTACACTCAGACATTCAAGAAGTGTTGTCGGCCCTCTTGGATTTTGCATCCTGTGTTGCTTCATGCCACCTTTGGAAGGGAACGGGCTGTTCTTGTCTACAGGAGCTGAAGAAGAAGTTCCGATGCGTCGTGTCCTGACAAGAAAACCGTCAGCTGGAGGTTCTACAATGACAGAATGCCTGGCCCTGGCCCAAAGCGGCTTGGGAAGTTTAGCCTTCAAGGCAAACCTGTCCGTTTCAACCCCGCAGCAGAAAAACCTGCTTGGCATCACTCTACAGCCTCCCAGGCCAGAAAGAGACGCCGCGTTTCTTTTTTGATTGTGCAGCATTCGCGCTTGTGCCGGAACGTTGCTTTATACTTGGTCGGTAGTGCCTGAGACATGGATGAAGGTGAGGGGAAAGGGACGGCTGGAGAAAGGTGGAGCGAACGGGCTGAAGAACCAACCTGTTATCCAAGAACTCCGGATTCTTCTCGGAGCTCACCATGTCGGTTTGAAGGAGATCAAACTCGAAATCTGAAGCTTCAAGGATTTCGCTTTGTGCATTGAGGAATAAACTAAGCCCAAGCGGAAACGCACAGACGCAAGCATGGCGGGTGCATGCCGGGTGCCTCCGTACAGGTATCGAAATCGACGCAGGTAGCACGAGGCTCTGCAGCTAGCGCACCCGGCCACAGAGGCTGCCGAACGCTTGCAGGCATGCACGTTGCGTAGTCCTGTCGACTTATTTCAGCATTCTGCTTCAGACGCCTTTGCTTGGCCTGCGACTGATTGAAGCACGTTCAGGCACAAAAATGGTGCTCAAGACAAAGCTTACTGAGGCGGCGGTCAAGAGAGCTTACGGTACGTCGATGCGGCAGTTTTGCCCTAGTGTCCAGGCATTGGGCATCAAGCTGAGCCCTGAGTGCTAAGATGCCGAATCACACTGTGCTTAGTGATGCCTGTAGTTATCTTCCTAGAAGCCACTAAGGCACCCCATTATTCAGGGCGGGCTTCAAGCTCAGACTTCTTGGAAGGAAGTGGAACCTGTCAGCGCTAGCCAGCTGAAGCCATTCCAGCTCAGGAAAAGCAAGGTGTTCACAACATGTTTTGACACGCCCACCATGTTTTATGATATGCCTGACGTGTTGTTCAATTGGCAGCAGATGTCGCAACAGAAGGCGGGCTCACGATGAGTGAGTTTGCCGGTGCCAGAAAGGCATGCTAGGAGCACGAAGATTCGAAGCAGAGCAACCAGAGCAGATCGCACGAGCAGTGCGCAAATGGCGGCACGCTGCGACATCCCAGAGCGAATCCCGAGACGCGCAGCTCGCCTCGGAAGAGGTGACGGGTAACTTTTCAGTGAAGACCATGGAATTATGGTTCCGAACAGTTCGCATGGAAGCCTTCGGAAGATTTGGAGCCCTTAAGTGCCAGAGACGCTGGTAAGAGGTAACTTGCTCTTCCGCAAAAATACTTTCCCCGGCTTGCGCTCTAGTCTGGACACGCATGAAACCTGCAGCGGCAAAAAAGCCGCCAGCTTGCTTCAGTATAACGACAGTGGCCTGGGATGTTAATCAGATGATGTCAAGCATAGAAGAACTTGTCATAAACATTGGACAACTGATGTAAGGATCTGCTACCGCTCCTTCCACAGGAGGGATGGCCCATACGGAACCAGAGCTCCCAAAGAGGAGCACCACGCACTGCCCCTGTCTCTGAGGCACGCAGTTTGGTTGGACTCTTGGCCTTCAGCGCAGTCTCTCCGAGCCCGGGCAAGACAGCATGTGCTCCCAGCGGTCCTTATAAAACTTTGAGAATGTGGAAACGTGAAACATCCTGACGAGGTTCCGTGCCATGCGTGTCTAGCATGACAGAGTGTTCGGAGCCTTATGATTATGAAGAGGTGAACTCCAGCCCAACAGTGAGTCCTCTTACCATTATTAGTCTAAGGCGCCAAGTTGCAAGGCCAGCTTTAAAAGAAAGGTCCCAGGTTTAATGATGGCTCGACTCAAAGACTGGGTGTATCTGACCACGGCACAATAGTCTCGGCGGAGCTGGGTCAGCTTTTTTTCTTGTCGTTGCTGATACTCACTCACCAACAAGACGAGTCAAATGGGTGCAGAAGGTTGGATAGAGCACATCTAATAGGGCCGATACGGCAGCCTCCATGAACTCAGGGCCTTCCTGGATGCAGCGCGATGCAGAGTCTGTTTGCAAGCGCCGCTGATTTCGACAGCGCGTCATGCTCCAGCAGCCACCCAGCTTGCGGCAAATGACGGTGACGGGGAGCCTTGCTTGCAACTGCAACTGATGTCGTATCGCAAGCAGAGTGACGGGCCAGCTCCACGAGCCCGCAAGGATATGTTTGGCCAAGTTGCGGACTTGTTTGAGGGCCCTGCCTTCGAAGAAGGCATGTTCAGACCTTCTGCTTGTCAACAATTTCTGCACTGGCACACTCGGAAAGGTGAGCAGTGGCGGGCCTTGACCAAAATCAAGGTTCGCAAAGAGCCGAGCATAAACGCACCGCAGATGGAGGACAAGATCATCGAGAAAGGAACTTGGTTGGATTGAGCCAGGGGTTTCCGAAGGGTTTCGGAAACTGTGTGAAGTTCCAACCTTCGTGTGCTGTCCAAGGAGAGACATTCTACGTAGCTGAGAAGCGGAGGGCAAAGATCCCAACAGGCGGGTGAGTTTTGCCCCATGTGGGTTCAACAAAACCAACTCCTGGGATGCTGCATCACCTCCGGGCTCTTGACACGGTGAGCAGGCGGCAGGAATCGCTTGTACCTGCGACTTGCAGCCGGCAAAGGCAGGAGTTCAAACAGACAGAGTGGCAGAAGTGAATCGGATGAGGCTGCATGTCGGCAGACTTCCATGCAGGATGGGTCTTCGACCTCGGGGTTGCAGGCGAATGGCAGCCTGGCTGCAGTGTTGACCTGCCTAGGCCCCTGCACGACAGATGCAACCCAGGTACGGAAAGCCCATAGCCGAGCCTGTCTACGAGGATGAATCTGACGACAGCCCAAATCCATTCGGCGAGATTGGCTCCTCGTTTGCTCAAGCTGCCTCCCATAGCAGAGCATGACAAAGATCGTTGAACAATGTTGAACATGCAGTGAGCAGCCGTGCCTGGTCGAACTCCAGCGCTTAATCTGAGGTGATGCGGTCGGCGGCATGTTCAGATAATAGCTCAGCAGGATAGCGCTGAAAAGTGCTCCGCAATGTGCCACGGTGTTTCATCCTGACCTTGGCACGATTCCCAGCTCGGCCCGGCGGAATCAGCAGTACGGGAAGCTGAGGATGCACTTTGTGGGCTATGCGGACATGGCTGCGGCTGTGTCGAATGCCGGTGGCCTGGGGAGACTTACTTGCATTCAGCATCACGCGCAACGTTAAAGCATGCACGTGCACAACTTCGAAGAAAGTTTCGCCAGGATCATCACAGCATTGACGGTGGCTCAGCCCCCAAAGGGCAAAGAAGCTTTGCGAGACGAGATCAGGCAGGAAGTGCTGGTGAGCAAGTTTCGCACCCAACGGGCACAAGCCGTCGGCTACATCGAACGACACCAGGAAATGCCGAGAGCTGACTGACAAGACGAGAACTCGGACGCCTTCATTTTGGAGTGCAAGTGTTTGCTAGTGTTGCTGTTGCTTCTTCGTACAAACGCAGCAACAGCCACATGAGGCCATTTGGCGTGAACATCACGCCACAAGCCAAGCTGAGAGACGTCAGAGTCTTCGAGTATTCTCCACACTGTTCAGGCTGTTGCCAGTAGGAGTTCCTCCTGACTTTGATGGCATCGTGCAAGACGCGCCCCCAGTGGCAAGCCAAAGAGGCTCCAGCCGCCAGCTGGTACTGGCAGAGTCGGCCGAGAGGTGTTGATCGAGGAGAAGGTCAAGGTAGTCGAAACAGCCGGGCGCAACCCCGAGAAGGTGATCAAACAGTGCAAGGCGAATCGCTTGCAAGTTCACCGCAAAAGCAGTTTCGAAGAATGTCACGACGGTTACGAG